AAGTCGTTATCAAATAGCGTATTATACTAAAAATATAAAATAAAATTTTTATATTAGCACAGAACTAAAAACGGCCATTTGCAGATGTTTTCGCTGTGGCCTTCATCAAGCCATATATGTGCTTCAAATGTAGCAGGTGCAACCTTGAATCTGGAAAAGGCTATTGTTTGGCACACATTTTCTTTATGATGCCTAAGGTTTGAGGTAATAAATGTTGTGCCCTGCAATGAACGCTGTTACCTGTAGCATAGCCCTGGGCATGTGAATAAGGCACACCACCAATGTCTGACATATCATGCTTTCAGAAATTATATTGTCCAATTTTCCTCACCCTTGTGTCAGGAAGAAGTTGTTACTATTTTGCCATCCTCACACAGTGGTCCTTTGAGCGAGTTATGTGATGTTATATCATAGGGTGGCATAGGGTAATTTTCTCTTCTCTTTTTACGCAGGATGTATTGGCACACCATCATCACAAAGGAGAGTGTACAGTGAGGCAGGCTCGAAATTTGAATAAAGTGATAAGTAGGATTTCAATTTCTGTTTTATCAATTACGTAAAGTATACTGATTATAATTTTTGTATGCTACTCATACATACTTTCAGTTGAAAAATGCAACGCACGTTTTCTTTATGGCTTTTCTCACAGTTTCAGAAGACGCTGGTACATCATTTTCACGAGGAACGTTTGGAAATAGAGCTGCCGAAGATTTCCTCGTAATTGTCACGTACATAGCAGCAAATCAAAATGACGAGTTTCTTAGTCAATGTTGAAAACCGGCAGTACATTATTTTCAAGAGGGAAGATTTGGAAATGATTCAATTGTCATTTTCACGTCTATGCTCGCAACTTGAAAATGCGGTGCCTCTTTTTTTGTGCAACTTTTCCCACATAAACTTATATCATGATTGTACATTATTTTGACGAGAAATGTTTGGAAATAGAGCTGCCAAGACTTTCCTCGTAAGTTTCCCGACTCATTTTTAAGAGTGTATCTCCCAATGGTGGTGCCTCTAAATTATCATCAATTAGGTTGTCAACGGCTTTTCTTAACATTTCACGAGAATGGAGCTATTTGCCATGAAATTTCACAAGTTGGAATCCAGCCATTCAAAAAAACACCTTCGAAAAGTCAGCTTTTTAAATGCAGGTACCGATTTTTCTGTCCAATTTCGACCGTTCTTTCCATTCAGAACGACTGACATACACAGCGTCCCAGATTACTTGCACCGTACTTAAACTGCACCGGAGCGCTCTGCAGGAGGGAAATCAACTGTATGTTGTTAGAAAGCGTCTTGCGAAAGTGCACAGATAAATAACTAAGATTAATTAGCTAACCTTTTAAATATCCTTTAAACGGCCGAGATGTCAATTGGAAAGTGGCAGGGCGCATTGAGAAACACCCAATTAAAATGTTTGCAACATGATACGCTTTCGCGCTTTTTTTCTGCCTTTAAAGGGGTGGGGAAACGAAATTTCAGCGATCATTTTCTAGCTTTAATGTGTTGCCTGTTGCACCCTAACCTCAAAAACACCAGTCTTTCGTTGAAAGGCACCAGAAAACTAATTTTAAAGCTAAATAAACGATCTTCAATGTGCACCTGGTGGATGCATGCGGAGCCTATTTGGGAGGTAGTCTAGCAACGTTGTGGAATCTGCTACGTAGTCGTGACGTAGCAGATTCCTTCGGAGCAGCGCCGCTCTTTGGCATTTCAACGTTTTCCTTCTTAGCTTTCCTCCTGAACTCACAAATCGCGCATTGTACCAAGCGGTCCAAGAAGACGGAACGGAAGGACTCCCCTCTTTCTCGCACCCTCGTTCGTGCAACCGGAAACAGCCATTCTCCCCCTAGCAGATTAGCCCGTCACTCAAAACTCGAACAAAAGTTGCTTTCCCCACCTCGTTCAGCACTGAGCTGACAGTGTTGTGGAAGCTACGTGCTCCTTGGGCCAGCCACACGCTCGTCACCCCGCGGGTACTTCGAACGGCTCGGTTGTAACGCGCTGACGCTATTGACACCACCACAACGCTGACAACGCCACCAAAGGCAAAGCTCATAATCACGCTAGCCTTGCTACGTCACGAACGCGGGGAATCTTTTCTTTCTGTTTTTGTTTGCGCCGGATATCCCATGACGCATCGCGCTCTCCGTTCGCTTCTCTTCGAGCGCTTCCTCGAGTGCACCGTTTGGAACGAAAAATATAGCCAATCGTTCAAAATACAAACGTGCGATTATCATTTACGGTTATTATCCGTCATGCTTGACTCATTTACGAACGAAATATGAATATTTCAATTTTTGTTTCCGTACCCCTTCAAAGAACGCACTATCGCGGCGCGCCCGCGCGCCGCAATTGTGGAAGCGAGTTGTCATGCGGTATTTCTAGTATTTCGCGGGCGTTTTTGAAGGCTAGTAAAAAGGACCATGCAAAGTGCAAAGTGAGGCGCGAAAACCTCTCGCTTCACGGCTTCTACTGGCTTCAGAGCGTCGTCCATCGCCAGTTTCGAGTAACGCGACCCTGAATGCTGAATGCGCCCCGTGCGTGAATTTCGTGTGGTGCTTTATGGATCAACTGGTGGGTAGCAGTACATATAGCATGTGAAAAAAAATGTTCCTTTGATATTCGCCGCTTGTGATCACCCCCACCGAGAGTTGCGTAAAAGTTATAACTACATTAAAACCTTAAAGCGAAACAACCTAATAAAAAACGCGATTGTGCACAATTATTTATGATAATTATGCCTGAAACAGTGGTAAAATACAGAACAAAATCATTCAGCAGTTGAAGACACAGAAAGAAAGGGACAAGGTTCAGCTTCAACTCAGCTGCTACGTCTCTTCCGTCCCACACCTTAAATACTCGAAACGTGTGCACATCCAACCTCCAAACAAACAAAAATAAAAATAAAGTTCACAACAGTAGCGCGTGTGCGCGCGCACACACACACAAGCGCGCACGCATACACATCATTGTCCTTCCGAACATTTCGGACATTTCTCCGTCTATCTTCTAAGGATTCCCCAACATCTTCGTTGAACACAAACCTGTACCCCATTGTGCACACGGTACACGATTGTTTTCTACACACTTCTCTGGCTCTAGTGCAAACGAAGTTTGGTAGAAAATAAAGCCAGTTATGATCTGCTTTTCGCGTCCCCTGTTATACGATAGATATGGAAACAGAATATGGATCTCCGAGTTTGTGCATAAATGAAAAATTACATTTCTAGCACTGCTTTAGCATAAAACATTACCCTGCTGAAGTCAACTAATCTCGCTTCTCTTTTATTCTTTTGAATGAAAATAATGTTTAGTCGTTTTATGGCGGCGTTTCATTAGTGAAGATACGAAACAAATTACAATAATATAGCGATTCGAACCGTTATTGTTTTCCCCGCGGAGCTGAACCGATTGACGTAAACCTGAACCCCAACCGAACCAATAAAAATTTTGGTTCGACATACTGATTCTCAGTCGTCTGCAAGAGAAAAAAAAAAGGTATCAATTGGGTTGTATAGTAGCCCTTTAGGGTGAAACAAAGTATTGTCAGCAGTTGCCCTAATACACAAGAAAACGTAATGTATAAATACCACTGGTACAAAGCAAGTACCAATTAAAGCTCATCTCAAAGCTTAGATGTAACACGTGGTAGTACGCTGACGGCAGGGATGGGCAAAATACATGCAAATATGTATCGAAATACAAATACAAAATACTTCGTCAAAAATGTATTTAATTACAAATCTAATTACATTTCCAAAAAAGCATTCAAGTACAAGATAGAAATACAACCAAATGTGTTTGGTCTCCAAATACTTTTCTAAATACATTCCTCAATATTTGCGTCAGCGACTTCAGGGCACCTGCAACGGGTTTCTGGGTATCTCATTTTAATTTTGCATCGCACACTCGAAAGTTAGTGTGCGAGGCTCTAGTAACGCAATAGAAATATAACCACAAAAAATGTAATAAGCTTGGACGTCATAGGTGAAAAAAGTACAGAGCTCCAAGCAGCTTTTTTTGTCGATTACATTTTGGTATAGACCAACAAAGAACCGAAACAACCAAGGCACGCAGCACTAGCTAGATACTTTTTTATTGTTGCAACTCGCACCAGTTACGAAAATCTGGACGACCCGTGCATTTAGAATTTTCCAGGCAAAAATATGGATGGAAATCAAGCTGAAAAGCATCACTACTTGTCATAGGCACTTCTTTAGCCAGTCTGCCTGTGAACGTCGATTTCGCACTATTCTTGCCCTGGTCTAGCACCGTAATCACGAAGTCACTAAGCGCTTGAGCTTGATTGAGAAACACTGCATTTGGTGCAGAGCGTAGTTTTCTTCCTGCTCTGGACAGTGACAATAAATTTGAAGGATGTATTTTCGCCCACAATATTGTATTTAATTACAATTGTATTTGAAATACCCACGTTTTAGTATTTAAATACACACATCAAATACATTACCCAATTTGTAATTAAATACAAATGCAAAATACACAAAGTATTTGAAATACTGCACATCCCTGGCTGACGGTATGCATTGCATAAAATGCTGTCTTTATAAAAAAATAAAGCGCCTCGTCATACAGAGGAAATCTGCCGTTTTCCTTGCTATCAAAGACCTTGTTTTTGAAAAAACACACAAAGAAACAAACTGATTCAATAAATATGAAGCGTCATGTAACAGAAAACTGCTTTGCTGTCGCGACAGTCGCCGTGACGTTTGCACTCGAGCTGATTGCCGTTGCTTCTTTTTCTTTTAATAAATGCAAGTGACTAGGCACAACAAACAGACAGGGGCAATACAATAGTGAATCAAATTTAGGAGAGGGCTAGTTTTCGCTGGGCAGCACGTGTTTTCGCTGATTGCCGTCTGTGGACCAATAGGGGACCAGCCGGTAGCGCCGCACAGCGACTTTTGACGGCATACTGCATAAAACGACTACGAGCCGACCTCAGGGTGTTCGTTCTGTCTCGACTGCGCCGCTTCAGCATGAAGTACTGTGTGCTGATCTTCGCTGCAGCAGCGCTTCTAGGGCTCCTGTGCCCTCGGGTTGAGGCGAGATGTCCGAGCAACGAAGGAGTCTTCAGCGACTGCTCCTTCACGACCTGTACGCCGAGTGAGTGCGCCGACCAAGGCCAGGAATGCTGCCCTAAACCCTGCGGTGGATCCTGGTGTGTCGATGGTAAGAAGCACAAAGAGCGTGACTCAGCAAAACGGCAATTTTATACTGCCACGTGGATGCCCGCTTCAAGATTCCATGCCTGCACTAAAGGTGTACCTATCCTTCGGGTGGTTTTGACTGAGGTGGTTAACCGCGCATTTTCATTAAGTTGTGAACTTTGCGTACAGGATTTCGATTGTGCGCACTGCTCGCCGACTCGGTGTAGTTCCGCTGTGGCAAAGTGGTAATTGGGTACTTTTTATGTACTTACTGTATAAACTGGTGTACTTTTCTCGTAACTTACCAGGTCTTGGGTTCAGTTTTTTTTTAATTTGATACTACGAAAAGTTGCTTTCCTGCATTTCTTCTTTTCGTGTATCTGGCGAAATTAGAATGCGGCTACACTTACGCAGAATGGATCAAAATCACGGGAATCGTAAGTGATTCTGCGGTCCAATCATTGCACGACATTAACTTCTTACATGAGGCAAACTAGAGGGACGGTAAATTGAAACTACGTCGATATGAGCTACTGGGTACGGCCGTAAGGACCACCGCATTTGACATCTTTCAAAATTCCCGCTCCAAAGGTACAGACCTTATACATTGAGCACCCGAACGTAGTTTTGCAAGATGTTTTATGTCTCTTTGTTTCGAAGCTCAGCTTGGAGGTAGTAGCCTAAACACAAAGCAAAACCGGAGGCCGTGTATGTTATTCTAGCCTGTTTTTCGTCTGCATGCTGGTTTGAGCTCGCTCTCGGATGGCTTGCTGAACGCAAAAACCCTAAGCATCAATAGTAAAGGCTAGCGATCACCGATATTAAATTGACAATGGCCGCCTGGGAGCAAGTTTACAAACCAGTCTGCAGAAGGCGAACATCTGGTATACGGCATAGGAAATGCACAGACGCGGTTTTTCATCTATTCAGTATTTAACCACATCTAAGTTGAGCTTTAAAAAAAAATATACAGAATTTATTGCGAAACTATATATGTTCGTGTGCCCAGTTTTAAGTGTGTGCGTTTACCGCACCCAGTATATAAAGCGGGGACGTTCCGTAGGGAAGATGAAGCGGCTTGGAATCGGTGTAGGCGGACCCCTTGAAAGCCTCGCCCACAAGAGCTTTTCTGTATACTTCGTTTAGCTTTAGTCCGGATGCAGCCAAAGCTACATCTGGTGTGCTTCTGAGACTGCTTGATTAGTCTTTAAGACCAATCAAGCAGTCTCGGAAGCACAAGTCGCTAGGCCTTCTTTGTTTATGATTAGTTTAGCGATGACAGAACACGTACAGGGACATGACGACCACCAATGATGGTACGCTTTGGACGCTGCATGATCGATCTGGTCAGCTCGTAGCGTCGGCTGCGTCTGGGCTTAAGGTGATCTCTCTGCGTTCTCGCAGACCAATATTTTTCATTGCGTGGTTGTTTTGCCGAAATTGGATAGTTGGTGTCGTACAAGATGAGCTTGTTAATTTACTGAAGTTGATATTACAAAATGTTTATCGTCCAGCGACAATGGACAGTTTCGTAACTGAGGTCACCTAGTAACGTTGGTGTTGCATATTTGTGAACCGTCTAACGTTGGTGTTTTTTCGCAGGTGTTGAAGACCGGTCCCTTCAATCTACCCCGGTGTGTCCCCAAACTGTCCTGCCCGAGGGCGGATGCAACGACCCCGCAGGGAGCATCACGTGCTCGAATGTCTTTTGCGCCGGTGTCCCTTGCTGTATGGACGCATGCGGGAAACCATACTGCCTGAACCCATCCAGTGAGACCGTCTCGATCTAGAGCTTACAAAAGGATAGTAAGTTCCCGCTTTTAAGCTTTTTCAGCTTTTAACAATCGAGTCCGCCTAGCGACGGCCGTTTCATTTTCTCTTGGCCTAGCGCTGCCTCCCCTTCAACTCCCGCTGATGTCGGTGATTCTTGAACACTCTCTACTCTATATGCAGGAATGCGAGGATGGAGCTGTTTTATGGTGGCACACATTATTAGTCTTTCTAATCTAAAGTGCACCTGGAGAGGTAATATGCAGCGCAGACGTTAAAATAACCGAAAACTATTAAAAATGCATCGGTCGATACCCTCCTGTTTTGTACCAATCTTGAAAGACAAACTTTGGGCTCCTGCACAAAGATGTTCAATTCAACGCATTCTGTTTGTCGTAATTACCTGTATGGCTGTTTTACTACCAATTGGGTCTTTCTGCGGCGAGATTGCTATTCAATTTTTCATTTTGGTCAGGCGCAGATGCTGCGTACTGGTTGCGCTAGAGGTAGCAAGGCAAGTTGTTACGTCTAGTTGTGACACTTGTAGTGCAACCCACTGTTTTCTCGCTGTAAACCGCCTTTGCCATTTGACTGCAACTGTTTTCATTACCATGCATAGTACCCAAGCATGCTACTACTTAATCCGGGAATAGAGTTCATTGAGAGAAATGTAACTTGGCTTCCTATCTCCTGGGCAGCGTCTGTGATCAAGATTCTCGGCATCACCTTCGCGTTCCTGGCGCAGGGATTGTCTCAGGAAGAGCTCAAAGGACGGACGTGGCTCCAGCGTGCCCCACTTTAATAGCACCGGTGCAAGGAAAGAAAGTAAAGACGCTGCCACGAATCTTGCTGCAATCTTTTTGGGACAGATAATTATATCTTCAGGACTGAATAAAAACGAAAGTTATTACAACAGTGTGTGCAAAAGCGTCCGGAAATTTGACTACTGTTTCACATTCCTTGATTCCAAGTTCTTACCCTGGCTCTTTCTTTTTCAGACAACTGGAAATATTTGCGAGTGAATAGGATCGAAATAATGGCGGTCATTTATTTTTAGGTCGCCTAATGTATTTTTGAGACGGTGTATGCAACAGATAATGGAATCTTTGTTATTTCTCTGCATAGTCATTTCGTAAAATCCGGAGTGGCCACACTGCGGCTCCCGAACTGTAGTTTCGCCACACGACCAAGATTACGGGTTCAAGTGCTGCTCGCGGCTCCCTAGTGAGCGTTCCCCTCTTTCCCTTCTGCATCTTGAAGACAAATTTTTCTAGAATTAAAAAGAAATCAGGTCTTCAAGCCTTGTACTATTCACTACATACGCTCAGCTGGACTCCATTTTGGCACATACAAGTCTAGTGGCCGTGCTTCCTTTATTGTTCTAGAAAGAATTCTGAACCGTAGACGCATACCAGGCGTCAGGAGCAGAGGCTAATAAACCGTGAACTAATTTTTGCTTAGGGGTTCAAAAACCTTTCTTTTGCCTTGATATTTGTTTTAGAACAATTATACTTGTCAATTTTGGAAAGGGCTTTTTCCTCTATCGTTTCTGGTTAAAAATAGCCCTACCCAACACCCTTTTCTTTGTGCGTCTATCAGAACTATTGTTTCTCCTGCGGTTCTAGCTGTATATCACTTTGGCCACCCTTGTTGTGGATCTACACATTTCTTCAATGTCATCACCCCTGCATGTCCGCTGCAAAGGCTTCTTTAGGGATCTATCGAAACCACTGAAATACTGCTGTTGCAAGTGCCTTCCGTGTCGCAAACAATAAAAAAAAAAAGGAATGCTGGGTGCAAGACAGTGTTGTTCACGCTCCCCCAAACAGGAACAAAGGCTAGTTCCTCGTTCTTTCTTGAAATAAGTTCCCGTTACAAGTTCCAGTGGTTCGAAAGGAATGCGTTCCCGTTACGTCTCTAAGATCAGAGCGTGTCGTTGCATTGTAACGTTGTTAGCGCCTATCGAGGCTTCCGTAAAGAGAGCTACAGGTTCTACAATTAATGTTACGATGAACCACACAGACGCTACGAACAAACTCAGCCAATCCACTGCTGTGAATGTATTCCCTGACTCTCACTACGCGTCAAGGGCGTTGCTGCCCCCGTGCACAACGAGAAACTACAACGACATTTCGACGCTTATTTCATGGTTTACTCGTGTTCCAGGAAGCATTATCACATCAAACACACCATTCTCTTGTTGAAAGAGACACGAAAAGGAATTTTAAAACGAACTAAACGATTAGCAAAGAGCGCGCTAACGCCTCGTTTGTAATGCCCGTCTAGGAACCTTGATTGACAGGTAGAGACGATAACTGTCTCGCCTCCGGCCACGATGAGAGAAGAGCTGAAGGAGGAACTCTCCCCTCCCCGAGACTCTCTTTTGTGTGTCCTAGAAGTCGATGCTGTCCCTCTACAAGATATAGAAGATTCAACCCGTCACTCAAAATGCGTACAAAAGCAGCTTTGGGGTCACTTGCGGTGGCCCGATCGCTGGTGGGCATCGGCTGCTTTCAGCGGATCCTACGAGCCATCGGGGCCGATCCAAGGCTATGTGAATGTCACGTGACTTTGGAGAGGGGGCAGAACGACGCGCGGAAAGCGTATCACGGGCTACGTTACGTCCACAGAGTGAAAATGGCTGGGATAGCTCGCAGCGTCTGCTGCGTCCGGATGTAAGGTCCCGAGACAAACTACGTCACGATTGCCGCTGATGTGACGTGCTTTCCGCTGGCTGCTCTCCGAGCGTTTTCCAGAATTGGTCGTTTATAACTAAAAATACAGCCACCATCAGGCTCAATATACAAACGTGCGATTGTCATTTACGGATATTGTGGATCATATTCAGCCTATTTCTGAACGCGACGGGTACGGTTCAAATTTCGTTCAAGTATACCTTTAAAGGGATACTACGACGAAATTTCCGCGCTTATTTTTTGGTCTATATGTGTTCAAAGGAGCAGTATCACATCGGGCACATCAATACCTTGTTAAAAAAGACACGAAAATGAATTTTAAAACGAATTAAATGATTAGCAAAGAGCACCTGGTGGATGTCGTTAACGCCTCGTTTGTAATGCCCGTCTAGAAACCTTGACAGGTAGTGACGGTAACTGTCTCGCCTCTGGCCACCACGAGAGAAGAGGGGAAGGAGGAACTCCCCCTTTTCCCGAGAATCTCTTTTGTGTGACCCAGAGGTCACTATCGTCCCTCTACAAGATTACAGAAAATTAACCCCTCACTCAAAATTCGTATAAAAGCAGCCGCTTCGGTGGCTGGAACGACTTGCACATCTTTTCGAAATCAGCCTCGCCGAAGCTTTGCTCGTCCCGAGACGAACTACGTCACGATCGCGGTAGATATCACGTGCTCTCCATTGGCTGCTCTCCGAGCGCTTGCCAGAGAGGGCCGTTTATAAAGAAAAATACAGCCACCAGGCTAAAAATACAAACTTGCTATTGTCATTTACGGATATTGTGGATCATATTCAACCTATTTATGAACACGATGGGTACATTTCAAGCATCTCTTTAACTACCCTCTTCTGCGGTCCATCGCGGGGGTAATGGAGCGCGTCTTGTACCGGGTTGTAGAGCACGGAAACAAATAAAAGAAAGAAAAAAGGAGCGCCTTCTTTTTGTGCTCGCGTCTTGAGCTTCGTTTTCTTTCTTTTTTTTTTTTTTTTAGTTTTAGAGAAAGGTTGGTGAAGTTTCTATAAATCGACCTTGGGGTAGCGGTCTAGCCGAAGGTGGATAAGGAACGCAAATATAAGTCGAAATTTAGAAATATTAATATTAATGACGCAATGAGGCTTTGACGGAAATATCTAGGATATAAGGGGTCTAAAGGAATTGTTGACGCCATGGGGTATGAAAGCCCGTTCAACGCCTATCGGCTAAACCAAACTGTCTCGTAACAATGGAGTCTTTGTCAGTGTCGGAGTAGGAACGGCTGCTGCATACATCATACCAATATAAGTATTTTCCTGCTCGCAATCGCCAACAACATAACAAAATTTTTAATACAGCCAAAATGTTAAAAGATAATGCTTTTAGGTTCTTTTCATTACTGTGATAACATTGGTCATGTACTAATTTGGCTTCGGCAATAAAATCATCGCACTAAACATTAACTTTCGGGTTTTATTGGGTCCTATTGGTTGTTTTAGCGAAATGTTATTGTGATTCGTTAAGAGTTTATCTGGCCCATGTAGTCTCATTTGTGAATGTTCATAGTTGCATCGGGTGCCGCATCATTACCACCCCGCATTTCTCCTATTTCTACTGGATATATTTGCTTCTGTTTCAAAGGTTCCTAAAGAAATCCGAAAAATGTTCGTTTATTGTCAGACCTATCATTTGAAGACGTGCTTTTTCGTCACAAATCATCGCGTGGCTTTAGGTGTTTGCAATCAATCCTTGTCCTTGTTGCCGTACATTGAGCGGAGAAGGAGTACGTTGTCCAGAGTCGGTTGGTGCGAGCTTTTCTTGTTGAGAAGAGAGGATCTACTTCAGACCAGAAAAGGCCCTTTTGACGCTCACTTGGGTAGGGTTGCCGGGCCCTCGATTGCCACCACTGCCAGCTGGTGGAGCTCCGGAAAATGAAGTGTTTCCCTGGTCCAAAACTCCAAGACGCTAACGTCCTTCTTAGCTAGAGGCTTTTTTTTTTTTTTTTTTTTCAACGATTCGAGAAGTTGTTTATTTTCGTCGCTTCTCGGCGAGACATGGTGCTGAGTTTTGAAGGAGGCTCCGTTTCATTGGCTCACTCGGATCGTGGCGTCGGCTGTGGTTTCGGTGATAGAGAACCTCCGAAGACAGCGCGCTCTCTGACGACGCACTTTTGGCACCGTTTCATTGGCTCACTCGGATCGTGGCGTCGGCTGTGGTCCCGGTGGTAGCGAACCTCCGAAGACAGCGCTCTCTCTGACGACGCACTTTTCGCGCCGTTTCATTGGTACCTTTGATGTTAGTACCTTTCCTGTCGCCGACGTGTTTTCGTACTTTTCGTGTCGCCGACGTGT